CCTTCGCTCCTCACAGGACCTCCTTCTATCCTGCTCCCTGGTCTCCTCCTCCCATGCACGACTGCAGAGACTTCTCCAGGTCCTCCCCCATCCTCTGGAACTCACTGCCCCCAATCCATCAGACTGTCGCCTTCTCTATTCACATTCAGGCGCTCCCTCAAAACCCATCTCTTCAGGAAGCCTACCCCACCCTCACCTAACGGCCATCCTCCCTCATTCCTACCACTTCATCCCCCCAGCCACTTCCTACTGTACCTTTACCCCCCTCCCCTCCTAGATTGTAAGCTCGTAAGAGTAGGGCCCTCTTACCCCTCGTACGCTGTCTGTCTTTTGTTGTACTGTGCCATGTATTGTCCCCCCCCTATTGTACAGCGCTGAGCAAACCCTTTGGCGCTATATAAACTCGTAGTAAATAATAATAATAATAATATTATGAATGGAACGGCCTAACACCCCCCCAATCCCTGTTGTGACAGCTAACGAGGGATCTTCTCTTCCCTGCTAGCTGTAACAAAAAAAGCAGCCATTTGTGGCTCCGCTCACCTGGCCGTGTCACTCATTCACAGTATTCTGTGAATGAGAACACTACAAGTTCCAACAGCCTTTGAGGAGCTGTGAAGCGCTGTGGTAGTTAATTGAGTCTTCCTGTCAGTAAGCATCCGCTTGCTCGTATGAGATGTAAGAGCACACAGATACACTGACAGGTCTGCAGGAGACCTGCATTTCACCAGCAATCTACTGATTGCTGGTGCAATGCTTTACAGGCTCCAGAAACAAAAAATAATAAATGCACATTTTTTACCTGCAAAAAAAAAAATGTGCATTTATTATTTTTTGTTAAAAGGTGAACTTATTTAAATTTGCAAGTGTGAAATTCTTCACAAGCATCCAGGATTTGTTTTAATGTTTCCTTTTATTTGTTTGGACTGCTCTACTGAAGCCCCATACATCTGAGTGCAATAGAAAAATATATTTTGTACCATCAAAATATTTCAAATTTTCATGCTCATGCATTGATGGAAAAACAAAGGTGGTCATTGGGTAAAAGTGAATAACAGAACTTACCAAAATTCAAACTTTCATTATGAAAACAATTTCTTGATTTTTATACATCCATTTATAGAATTTTTAATGATAGTGTCTACATAAGCCAACTGATAGCTACAGCTTCACTATCAAAGGATATGCAGAAATGCAATTCACCTAACTTAACCTAGAAATTGTTTGCCACATACATGTATACACATATGAATCAAATCTCATATAAGCAGTGTTTCTTACTTATGAAAAAGGTAAAACTAAAATAAAAGTGCAAACTCTGCCCTATAAGGGACACAGTCAAGAGAGGATCATGGGGGCTGCTACTGATGAACTCTCCTTTGAGAATGCTACTTTCCTGGCTGTAATGTTGATGCTTTGGTTTCAATGCTCTCTGGATAGCTGACTTAGAACATATATAGAAATAAAAAGGTCTTGTACGTATTTAAAGCTTGCTTGTTCTGGGTTGGTAATTTAAAAGTGCTTAAGTAAAACATAGCCAGGCAATTAACGCTTTTAGAAGGAGACCAGAATGGTTTCCCAATGAGAGTCACTTAATGTTACATAAATGTACAGTGTTTTCCAACACAAGCAATATGTATGGACTGTTTTCTCCAGGATCTGTTCTTACAGTGCATTTGGAAAAGTCATACGTGCAGCATTTTGGTGTGCTGCCATATGAGGTCTCATTCAAGTTAAGTACACAAAAATGCAGTTTTATGCACAGGAACATGCAATGAAAACATGAATTACGTACACTAAATATGATGTGATGTGAATGAGCTTAAATTTTCACGTGTGAAACATTCTGAACATGGAAATGTTTAATTGCCCACAGGAACCAATCAAATTTTACCTTTCCAGTGCAGTAAGGGTAAATAAATAAAGAAAAAAAGGGACCAGACCAGTTACTGTAAGGTTGTATTTACACTAACTTACCAATGTAAAGACCAACATATAAAAAACTTTGTAATTTATTAAAATAAAGAAAATTACAAATAAAGGGTCCAATAAAACATTTGTAATTAGGGGATTGCTATATTACTCACCATACTGAGCCTGCTGCCAAGCAAGAGCAGAACAAAGTAACGCTAAACTTTTCCCACTTCCAGTGGGACTTTCCAACAGACAGTGTTGTCTGCAGTTCAATCCTCTCACAATCTGAGTAAATAAAAGGAAATATGCTGTATTAATTAACCAAAATACATATCCAGTCTTATGCTGCAATGAAAATACAAGTTAAATCTTGTTTTAGCACACAACATATTTTGCTAAAACCACGTTTGTCATATATAGTGAACATTATTTTTAATCATTGAAAAACGAAACACTTGTAATATATAACGTAGTGCTGCCATCTTGTGGCCTGAATGAATATTGCTAAACAACCGAATTGATGTAGTGTACAAGGGCTTCATAACAGCCATAAATTTACACTGTATTTGGGTTTTAGACTCAATGCATCAATTTTCAGTTTTTTATCAAGAACTATTATTTCAGGACTGCTCATTTGATACAAAAAAAAATAGAATGTTTGTTTAGAGAAAGGATAGCATTTTAAACAGCGATATATATATATATATATATATATATATATATATATATATATATATATATACCACAAGGCTGTAAGGTGGACTTTCTTATCAATAAAGAGGCCACATGGTCACCTACTTACGACTGTGAATGTTTAGTAACCTCTCACGCCACTGCAGTGAATGGCTCTGGGTTCCATTGATTTTACTTTCCATTTCTTTCTCTGATATTTTCTGGTTATTTGTCTCTATTCTGTTTTTTCCCCTCTGTTTTTCCCTCTATACTCGCAGATCTCAAAGGGATACTCAGTATCTAATATCTTAATGCTTGGTGCTCAGTATATGGTATTACGAGACCACGACAACGGTCTTCTTTGACTGGTGTCTTACGTTGCTATTTGCCTGACATTACATTGTGGTATTTACCCTTACTCATGAGTTAAAACTGTTACGAGTATTTGTATAATGTGCATTGCCTGGAGCCCACTCGTCCTCTTAACTATTTGTTTATGGTGTGTGTGTGTGTGTGTGTTTGTTTATAGAAATATATATATACAGTGGGGCAAAAAAGTATTTAGTCAGCCACCAATTGTGCAAGTTCTCCCACTTAAAAAGATGAGAGAGGCCTGTAATTGGCATCCTAGGTAGACCTCAACTATGAGAGACAAAATGAGAAAAAAAATCCAGACAATCACATTGGCTGATTTGGAAAGAATTTATTTGCAAATTATGGTGGAAAATAAGTATTTGGTCACCTACAAACAAGCAAGATTTCTGGCTCTCACAGACCTGTACTTTCTTCTTTAAGAGGCTCCTCTGTCCTGCACTCATTACCTGTATCAATGGCACCTGTTTGAACTTGTTATCAGTATAAAAGACACCTGTCCACAATCTCAAACAGTCACACTCCAAACTCCACTATGGTGAAGACCAAAGAGCTGTCGAAGGACACCAGAAACAAAATTGTAGACCTGCACCAGGCTGGGAAGACTGAATGTCCGGGCCCGTCTGAAGTTTGCTAGAGAGCATTTGGATGATCCAGAAGAGGATTGGGAAAATGTCATATGGTCAGATGAAACCAAAATAGAACTGTTTGGTAGAAACACAACTCGTCGTGTTTGGAGGAGAGAGAATGCTGAGTTGCATCCAAAGAACACCATACCTACTGTGAAGCATGGGGGTGGCAACATCATGCTTTGGGGCTGTTTCTCCGCAAAGGGACCAGGACGACTGATCCATGTACAGGACAGAATGAATGGGGTCATGTATCGTGAGATTTTGAGTGCAAACCTCCTTCCATCAGCAAGGGCATTGAAGATGAAACGTGGCTGGGTCTTCCAACATGACAATGATCCCAAACATATTGCCCGGGCAACGAAGGAGTGGCTTCGTAAGAAGCATTTCAAGGTCCTTGAGTGGCCTAGCCAGTCTCCAGATCTCAACCCCATAGAAAACCTTTGGAGGGAGTTGAAAGTCCGTGTTGCCCAGCGACAGCCCCAAAACATCACTGCTCTAGAGGAGATCTGCATGGAGGAATGGGCCAACATACCAGCAACAGTGTGTGCCAACCTTGTGAAGACTTACGGGAAACGTTTGACGTCTGTCATTGCCAACAAAGGATATATAACAAAGTATTCAGATGAACTTTTGATATTGACCAAATACTTATTTTCCACCATAATTTGCAAATAAATTCTTTCCAAATCAGCCAATGTGATTGTCTGGATTTCTTTTCTCATTTTGTCTCTCATAGTTGAGGTCTACCTATGATGCCAATTACAGGCCTCTCATCTTTTTAAGTGGGAGAACTTGCACAATTGGTGGCTGACTAAATACTTTTTTGCCCCACTGTACATATACACACATACACTACATTGCCAAAAGTAGTGGGACGCCTACCTTTACACGCACTTGGACTTTAATGGCATTCCAGATTTAGTCCGTAGGGTTCAATATTGAGTTGGCCCACCCTTTGCAGCTACTGTATAACAGCTTCAACTCTCCTGGGAAGGCTGTCCACAAGGTTTAGGAGTGTGTCTATGGGAAGGTTTGACCATTCTTCCAGAAGTGCATTTGTGAGGTCAGGCCATGATGTCGGACGAGAAGGTCTGGCTCGCAGTCTCCACTCTAATTTATCCCAAAGGTGTTCTATCGGGTTGAGATCAGGACTCTGTGCAGGCCAGTCAAGTTCCTCCATCCCAAACTAGATCATCCATGTCTTTATGGACCTTGCTTTCTGCACTGGTGTTCAGTCATGTTAGAACAGGAAGGGGCCATCCACAAACTGTTCCCACAAAGTTGGGAACATGAAATTGTGCAAAATGTCTTGGTATGCCGACACCTTAAAAGTTCCCTTCACTGGAACTAAGGGGCCAAGCCCAGCCCCTGCAAAACAACCCCACATCATAATCCCAACCCCACCAAACTTTACATTTGGCACAATGCAGTCAAGCAAGTACCGTTCTCCTGGCAACCGCCAAACCCAGACACGTCCATCGGATTACCAGACAAAGAAGCGTGATTCGTCACTCCAGAGAACACGTCTCCACTACTCTAGAGTCCGCTGGTGGTGTGCTTTACACCACTGTATCCGACGCTCTGCATTGCACTTGGTGATGTAAGGTTTGGATGCAGCTGCTCGGCCATGGAAACCCATTCCATAAAGCTCTCTATGCACTCTTGTTGTGCTAATCTGAAGGCCACATGAAGTTTGGAAATCTTTAGCTATTGACTCCACAGACAGTTGGTGATGTCTGTGCATTGTGCACTTCAGAATGTGCTGACCCAGCTGTCATTTTATGTGACCTACCACTTCATGGCTGAGTTGCTGTTGTTCCCACTTTGTTATAATACCACTAACAGTTGAACGTGGAATATTTAGTAGCAAGGAAATTTCACGGATGAACTTATTGCACAGGTGGCAACCTATCACGGTACTACGCTTGAATTCACTGAGCTCCTGAGAGCGACCCATTCTTTCACAAATGTTTGTAGAAGCAGTCTGCATGCCTAGATGCTTGATTTTATACACCTGTGTCCATGGAAGTGATTGGAACACCTGAATCCAATGATTTGGAGGGGTGTCCCAATACTTTTGGCAATATAGTGTATCAGAAATCTGAAATGTTGTGAAAACATACACTTTAACCACTTGCCTACTGGGCACTTATACCCCCTTCTTTACCAGGCCAATTTTCAGCTTTCAGCGCTGTTGCATTTTGAATGACAATTGCGCGGTCATGCAAGATTGTACCCATATGAAATTTTTATAATTTTTTTCTCACAAATAGAGCTTTCTTTTGGTGGTATTTAATCGCCGCTGGGCACTTTACTTTTTGCGCTATAAACAAAAAAAGTGCAAAAAATTAGAAAATTAGTTTCTTTCTTTCTATTATAAAATTTTTCAAACAGGTAATTTTTCTCCTTCACTGCTGTGCTGTGCGTTGATCAGGCTGCACTGATGGGCACTGATAGGCTGCACTGATGGGCACTGATAGGCAGCACTGATAGGCAGCATTAATGAGGTGGCACGGATAGGCGGCACCTATAGGCAGCACTAATGAGGTGGCACGGATAGGCAGCACTAATGAGGTGGCACGGATAGGCAGCACTGATAGGCGGCACTAATGATGGGTACTGATAGACAGCACTGATAGGTGGCACTGACTGGCATCACTGCTAGGCACTGACTGGCGGCACTGCTAGGCATTGACTGGCGCAACTGGTGGGGCACTGACTGGCACAACCACTGGGCACTGACTGGTGGCGCTGACTGGCAGCACTGCTGAGTTGCACTGATGGGCACAGGTGGGTGGGCACAGGTGCGTGGCACTGCTGGGCACAGGTAGGTGGCACTTCTGGGCACAGGTGGGTGGCACTGCTGGGCACAGGTGGGTGGCACTGCTGGGCACAGGTGGGCGGCACTGGTGGGTGGCACTGCTGGGCGCCGCTCATCAGGGCACTGATCATCAGTGCCCTGATGATCGGTGCCGATCCCTGCTTTGACAACTGCCGGTTCTCGGCAGTACTTTCCTCACGCTCTGACAGAGCAAGGAAAGTGTAGCCGAGAACCGGCAATTGCATTTCCCGGTGAACAGAGTGTCATTGGACATGGCTGATCACGTGGTAAAAGGCCGCTGTGATTGGCCTTTTACCACATCACGTGATCAGCTGTGTCCGTAGGACACAGCAATCACAGAGATCGCCGGGGGCGCGCAGGAGAGCGCGTTCTGGGAGGACGTCATATGACGCCCTCCCAGAACTGGCCGGCCGCAGTGTAGCCGTCATTCAGCTATCTGCGGTTGACAAGTAGTTAAAAAAAGTGTTCAGGTTAAGAGAAAGAATGTTTGTGCTGCAAACTTGTATGTTAAAATTTCTAACCGGCAACTGGTATTACTAAGATTTTGCTTTTTGTGTTTCCTATCTTCTGTTTATTAATGAAGTACCGTGCAAAACATGCTAAAGACACCAGATGAGTTCTGAATTATACAAATGTATGCAAACACCACAGGCCAGGGTACTCTAGAAAGACTTAAAGCACTTGGTCACATTTTGATCAGTTCTGCTATTGCTAAATAGCTAGTCTGGACAGTTCTTCCAGCCTTGTATACCCCCCCCCCTCCCAGCATGCCTCAGTTTTGTGGAAAAGCAGTACAAAGAACTTAATCATAGACAAAGAGGGGTGGTACCTGTATCCCTCAATGAACTCCACAAAAGAATTTTACAGTGAGTACAAAAATCAAAGTTACACTTCTTTTCCAGTAGTCTTTCAGGACAGCACCTTGAGAGACCTCGGCTCCCCACATGAGGAAACACCTCCACCCTAAATAAAATCTCTGTCATTCCCCTCCGACCTCAGTTCTTGGCATAGTACCTCCGGTCACCTGGGGAGACATAACATGAGACACAAAAACACAATAAAACATCTCACATAAATATTATACAACAGAGGGTGGGTAACCTGTGCTATCCTGAAAGACTACTGGAAAAGACGTTACCGTAAGTGTAACTTTGATTTTCCCCTTTCGTCTTTCAGGACAGCACCTTGAGAGGATAAGCGAGTACTCACCCCTAGGACGGGCCCACTGCTTGCAGAACCTTACGTCCGAATTCCTGCTCTTGCACCGAGGCCAGGTCAAGTCTGTAATGCCTAACGAAAGTCCCATAACTGGACCAAGTTGCAGGCCTACAGATCTGTCCCGAGTAGGCCCCTGCCGGCTCCGCCTGTGTGGCCGCCATGGCACGTGTAGAATGCACCCTGATGCCCTCTGGGACTTCTAGACCCTCAGCCTGATGTGCCTGCTCTATTGCAAATCTCAACCACCTAGCCAACGTGCGTCTGGAAGCCCCTTGACCTTTCCTAGCCCCCGCAAAAGAAATAAAAAATGAATCAGTTTTACGAAACTCCTTCATCCTATCCAGATAAAGGAGCACACACCTTCTCACATCTGTGTGAAAATTTTACTTCCCTTTCACCTGAAGGATTATCGTAAAATGAAGGTAAAACAATATCCTGTCCTCTGTGGAAATCTAAGGCCACTTTAGGAACAAAGGCTGGTCCGTCCTGAACACAACCCTATTTAAAAAAACCTGAAAATAAGGCACCCTGATTGACAGAGCTTCAAGCTCACTCACCCTTTTTACCGTGGTGATTACTACCAAAAAGACTGTTATGAACGTCAGGGTCCTCAGGGAGCTGGAAACTAAGGGCTCAAATGGTGGCTCCATTAATACCGTAAGTACTCTTGACAAATCCCACTTTGGAAAAGGTCTATTTCCCGCCGGTCTCTGTCTTGACAAAGCCCTAAAAAACCTAATGACCAATGCTTCTTTTGCCAATAGGGACTCAAAGAACACACTTAGAGCCGATATCTGACTCTTAAGCATGTTGACTGCTAGTCCTTTATCTGCCCCCCCGCCTGCAAGAAATCTAGAACAGATACCAGGTTATAGTATCCACCTAGGCCCTGGAGCACCAACACACATCTCCAGACCTTCCCGTAGATCGCTTGGGTTTCCTTCTTCCTACTTGCTAGAAGTGTGGATACTACCCTGGCTGAGAAGCCTTTTGCTAGCAGGAGTTGTTTCTCAGAAACCACGCCGCCAATTTTCACCTCTCTACCCCATAGGACCGGGCCCTGCAAGCAATCTTTCCATAGAGGTAATACCCAAGGTAGCCGAATCGCTAAGGTCATTAACGTTGAGAACCACGCTTGTCGGGGCCAATACTATTAAGATCAGAGAGGTTCTCTCCGTTCTGAACTTTTTCAAAATTGCCGACAGCAAGGCGACTGGGGGAAAAGCATAACATAGGGGAAAGTCACATTTTTGCGCCAGTGCATCCACCACCCGAGCCCCGTCCCACCGATTTAGTGAGAAGAAAATCGGGACTTTGCTGTTCTGACCCGACACAAATAGGTCTATGGCTGGGGATCCCATTTCTTTACAATGGTTTGGTAAACCTCCCCGTTGAGAACCCACTCCGACTCTCTCAACTGCTGCTGTTAGAAAATCGGCCACCTGGTTTAGCTCCTCTTTCAGGTGGACGGCCAATAAGGAGGCTAAATTTGCCTCTGCCCATGACAGCAGCACCGCAGTCAGCCCCCAGAGGGACCTGCTTCTTGTTCCTCCCTGTTTGTTCACATAGGCCACCACCGTCGCATTGTCCGAAAGGACGCGAACATGATGGCCCCCGATCAAACCCTGGAAGGAACGAAGGGCCTTCCAAACTGCCTTTAGTTCCTTCCAGTTTGAGGATTCCCTTCTCTCTTCTCGAGACCAAGAGCCCTGTACTACGGATTCCTCCAGGTGCGCTCCCCATCCCTGGGCACTCGAGTCCGTTGTGATCTCTCTGACCACTGGAAAATTCCATAGTAACTCCTGAGTTAAGTTGGCTGCCTTCCTCTACCACCAAAGGGATCTTTTTACCTTGGTGGAAAACCCGCACCCAGGAATCTAACGACCTCTGCTGCCGGTCCCAAACGTTCAAGATGAACAGCTGCAGGGGACGCAGATGCAACCCCGCCCATTGCACCGCCGGAATGGACGAGGTCAACAGCCCTAAAATCGACATAGCCAGCCTCAATGATATTCCCTGGCTCTATAGTAGCCGCCTGATCCCCCTGTCAAACTTTGTGAGCTTCTCTGGAGTTAGAAAGGTTTTTTAACAGGCGGACTCCAGAATATAGCCCAGATAAGTCATTCTCTGTGCTGGAATTAGACTGGACTTGGCAAGGTTCAATAGCCATCCCAAACTCTCCAAATGGTTCCTCACCACTGCTATGTCCCGTGCAAGCTGCTCCTCTGAGATTGCGAATAAAAGAAGATCGCCTAAGTAGGCAACCACTGAAATTCCCTTCACTCGAAGTGGAACCAACGCCTCGGACATAACTTTTGTTAAGATCCTTGGAGAGGAGGAGAGCCCGAAGGGCAAGGCCCGAAACTGCAGGTGACACGTCCCCGCTGGACCCTTAGGAACTTCTGAAACTCATCCACGATGGGTACATGCAGATAGGCATCCTTTAAATCGATTGAGGCTAAGAAAGCCCCCGGTGGAAGCAGAGCTTTGACTGTAAAAATTGAGTCCATCCGAAACTTCTTGTATCCGATGGTCACGTTCAGGGGTTTCAGATTCAGAATCAACCTGTACGCCCCTGAAGGTTTCTGGACCACGAACCCATGTGAGTAGAAACCCTCCCCTATCTCTGCATTGGGGACTCTCACTACTACCCTTTGCTCCTCGAACTCCCGTAGAGAAGCTAGCAAGGCCGAAGCCTTTTGTGGACATATGGGCAGGCTTGTTACTAATAACCTTCGTGGCAGTGGCTTTGAGAACTCCAGGCGGTACCCCCTTCTCACTATGTCCAGTATGAAGGGGCTTGAGACCTCCGATTCCCACCGTGGGAGGAAGACCCCCAATCTTCCTCCCACTGGGAGAATCGAGTCATCGCGGCTTTTGGGGCTGCTCAGGACGGAAAATCGCTCCTCTTTTGCCCCTACCTCTCTGCCCCCATGCCCTTTTCTGAACCTCTGGCCTAAGGACCTGTAACCTCTTTGGGGGGCGAAACTCCTTCCCCCTTGAT